AAGAAAAGTGAGGAGGGATTACATATTTAATTTTTATTTACCAAATATGAGATGTGATAAAAAATACAGAGACTGTTTGCATTAAAAATAAAAACATTTTATTACCTAAAAGATACAGGCCAGAGATTTAGCTCGGCGGTTCGGTGGCCTACCTTGCAATTGCAAGGGACCCGAGTTCAATCCCTGGTACCAAAAAAAAAAAAAAAAAGATATTGCTGTTAATTATTCTCCCCCTCTAAATACTTCCCCTTTGTTTGAGCACACATCCCATTGTTCTTGCCACTTTCTGAAGCAGCTCTGGAAGTCCTCTTTCAAGTTTGTTTTTTTTTTTGTGGCTGCCTCAGTGTTGGGAACTGATATCTGAGCAGCATGCCTTTGAGGTCACCAGAAGCACGGAACAAAGATCCAAGCAGACATTCATTTATGTACACGAATTCACTAATAAGAAATTAGGCATTTAAAATCAGTGGGGGAAATGGAGTATTCAAATAAAAGATGCCAAAATGGCTATCCATTTAGAAATAATTAATTTAGATCCCTACTTCGCATCATCTTCAATATAAACAAAATTCAGGTGAGGAAGACAGTTTTAAAAATACGTGAAGAATAAAATTTTTGGAGTAATGTTGGTATAGAGAAGACTTCATATTCAAAATGCAACATCCAAAGCCATAAAAGAAATGACTAAGAGAAAACTGGTGAAATAAAAACTTTTGTCCAGCTAGGTAATCCCAGCTACTCAGGAGGCTGCAATAAGATGGCAAGTTCAAAACCAGCCTGGACAATTAGCGACTGTGTTTCAAAATAAATAAAAAGGGGTAGGAATGTAGCACAGAGATAGAGTGTCCCTGGGTTCAATTCCCAGTACTGGAAAAAAATGTAAAATTACTATATGGATAGGCAGGTGTGACAACATATACTCCCAGGAATTTTGGAAATCTGAGGCAGGAGAATCACTTGAGCCCAGGAATTCAAGGCCAGCCTAGGCAACATACAGAGAGAGAGAGAGAGAGAGAGACAGAGAGAGAGAGAGAGAGAGAGAGAGAGAGGGAGGGAGGGAAGAAAAGAGAAAAGAAAGCCAGAAATTCTTGCAATAGATTTGGAGAAATCTTATTAGAAAAAGCCTTCCTAAATGCCTTAAACTACAGCTTGTGATTGGCCAGGACTGACTGCCTCATATGGTCCCTCTCTTGGCAGGGAAGCTGGAAAAATGAGTGGTTGGTTTTTTTCAGCCTCTGAGGGGAGATAACCAAGGAAGAAAAGGGTTGAAAGTAGGTTTTAACTTAGTAAACCTTCAGCATCAGCTGCATCTACAGATAAGAGGATGGAAATGTTTGTGCAAACTATGATACACCATTGCTGATGAAATCTATTCAGCAACTTCATTAAACCTGTATGTACTGATGTGGAAAGAATTCCAAGATGAGGAACACAACATATAACATATATATAACAACATATATATATATATATATATTTATATAAAACTATACATATATGTAACACAATATATATATATGTATAGTTATATATATATATTTAAAGATATATGGAGCTGGGACTGGAGCTCAGTAGTACTCTGATTGCCTAGCATGTGTAAAGCCCTGGGTTCAATTGCTCAGCACTAAAAAATTAATCAGCTAATCAATCTCTAGGGTTGGGAGAAGAATTAAAGTAGTGGTGGAAGACTTTAGATTTTACTCTATACTTCTGTATTATTTAAATCATTTATATTAGGAATGTAGTCCCATGTCTTTTAAATGATCTAAAAAGAAATACCAAGAAATTACCCCCTCCCAAGGAAAGGAAAACCCCTTTTCTCTTCTTTTATCCACAATAGCCTCTTATTTTTCTTCTCTAGTTCCATGCCTGCACCCCAATTCTATTAGTTTGTGCCCAGCTGATTATAGTTAGACCTCTGATATTGACACCTCCTGTCTTTTCTTTGTCTCAGCCCTGAACTCCACTGCCAGCTTACTTTTCCTAAGACCAGGTTTACTTCAATCATTTCTCTTATGGTTTAGATTTAAAATGTCCCTAAAAAATCTCACATGTTTGGAAGGTGATTGGATCATAGGGCTGTATCCATAATGCAGTACTGGATCCATCCATGTCTGAATGTGCTGTTAAGGAGGTGGAGCCTGCTTGGAAGAGGTGGGTCACTGATGGAGTGGCCTACAAGGTTGTTTTCTTATCTTTGGCCCCTCCCTTCCCTTCCTGATTCCTGACCACCATTAACTCCAAGCAGCTTTCCTGTGCCAGGCCCTTACATCATATAATTCCTACCTAGGAGCCAGCTCACCATGGACTGAACCCACTGCAAACTGTGAGCCAAAATAAACCTCTCCTCAAGCTGCAGGTGTTGGATATTGTGTCCTAGCTTAGGGAAAGCTGACTAATACAACCTCTTTGTCCATACATCTATATTTTTATGTCCCAGAGTGTTCAGACGGTGCTGACAGTGTTTCATGGAAAAGGAATTCTGTGGTCTGGTGAATCTGGGAAATGATATGTTGAGCACAGTTCAAAATATTTCTTCAGTAGTGCAGGCCTGTAACCCTAGCACTTTTGGAGGCTAAAGTAGGAGGATCACTATTTGATCTCAGCTCAGGCAACTTAGCAATTTTGGGTGATCCTGTCTCAAAAAACAAAAACAAAAACAAAAACAAAAAAGGGGCTGAGATGCTGCTCAGTGTGAAGGCCATGAGTTCAGTCCCCAATACCACAGGTACACACACACACACACACACACACATATATAATTTTCAGGGAGTTTAAAATATCAGTGTGCTAATGGGAGCTAATGGGGAGAGACATTATTTGTTCATTCAATCCTTCTTTTGAGGAACACTGTTGTCCTCAGAACACACATTGAAAAACAATGACTTAAGGAAAAAAGTTCTCAATTCTTTTGGCATTAATGCCTTGCTCAATATGCTCTTACAATTTTAACTTCCCACAGTGAGTCTCCTTCCTTGCTTCTTCCTTCGGGGGTCAGTGCAAGTTCCTCTTCCTCCAGAGAGTTCTTCCTAATTCTTTTGGACTCACTGAGCTCTGTCATTTACACCAGAACCCTCCTTAGTCAGTGATAGTCTCTCTTTCCATGGGCTGAATGTGTCTATCCAACCTGAGCAGTTTTGGGACTGAGTAATAATTATAGTAGCACACAGGTGTCCTCCAAATATTTGGCTGCTTAAGGAATATCATGAATCTCCCCTAATTTGAATGCTCAACACCTGCACAAGGCAGTTATCTAGGACCTCAGCTGAACATCTTATTACTTTCAGAGAAAGCACTGAAAAGAGCATATTAGTTTTCTATGGCTGCCATAACAAATTACCACAAACTTGGCGATGTAAGTAATGGAAATTTACTATTTATAGTTCTGTAGGTCAGAAGACTGACATGGTGGGTCTCAATGGATTCAAACCAAGGTGTTGGAAGGACTGTGTTCCCTCCAGGGACCTTAGGGAAGAATCTCTTTCCCCGCCTTCTAGAAGCTTCCAGATTGGTAGGGCTCTCCACCTTCCCAGCAAGTAAGGGCTGGCTGACTGTTCTCACAACATAGCATTATGACCTGTTCCGCCTCCCTTTTCCACTTTTAAAGGACCGTTATGACAACGCTGGATCCATTCAGCTAATCAAGGACAACACCCCCAATTTAAGGTCATTTCTTTAGCAATCTTTGTTCCATCTGTAAGCTTAATTCCCCTTTGCTGTGTAACCCACCCTTCAGTTTTCAGGAACTGCAAAGTAGACATCCGTGGGGGTGGGCCATTATTTTGTCTACTCCTGGCACTTTTGCCCAAAAGACTAAATGGAAAGTTTGCAGCTAGATGGCACGGGGTATGACAGGAGTGAAAGGCCTTTTGGATTTACAAGATTCCTTTCACATACACGGCGGCTCTGCGGCCAATTCCTTAGCAAATCACTTAAGTCTTATAGTACTGACATTTCCGCTAAAATAGAAATTGCCATCCTTTGCGTGTTAAATGAAATAATTATGTAAACGGGCTCAGCTCAGAGGCCAACAAACAGGAGTCAAGAAGCTCTTGATGAATCTTGATGAGGAGGGTGGGCGAAGTTCTCTACATGGCATCTGGAGATAGTTTTGAGAGATTTCCGTGAAGGAGTGGGTGAGGAGCGCCTGCCCTTGACTGAAGCTGGGGGTAGATAATTCTAGCAATAGAAATTACGTTTTATTGAAAGCTTCTGAGTTAAAGTTTGAGGCATGGGGTGGAGCTAATTACTGGATTCCTTAGGTGGAAGATGATCCCAAACTAAAACAGAGGGGAAAAACTCACGAGATCTTCAAAGATTATACTTTACTTCATTGAAGGACCGATAAGTAATTGTTCCATTTCTTGGCGACTGGGTTAAGGACGTGGCAAACAAAAACTAAAGGATACAGGTTCCACCGAGATTTGAACTCGGATCGCTGGATTCAGAGTCCAGAGTGCTAACCATTACACCATGGAACCACCATATGTGGGCACGTTCTCTTGGCCTCCCTAGTCCTTAGGAAACCCCGCCCCCAAACCCAAGGCAGAAACGCGAGACTCGAGCGCTCCGGGAGTCCCTCTTCCCGGCATGATGGCACGAGGAATGTGCGAGGGGAAACTAAGACGGCAGTGAGCAGGGATTCCACGACTCGATTTCCCTTGCTAGCCTCCTAGAGATTTTGAGAACGTGAAGACAGACAGAGCGCAAGCGAGGGACGCCGGAGCGCTCACCCTTCACGGCTCGGGGGCGGGTGAGGCGGGGCCGGGAACCGCCTACCCGGAAGTACTTCCCTGAGGGGCTGGGGCCCGCCGGAAGTGGCGCAGAGGCAGGGACTGGCTCTTCAGCGGGTCCGGCTGCTGAGGCT